ACAAATCAGTTTATTTGACATTAGAAAATATTTCTTTGTTGTTAGGCAAGAAGTGTGGCTTTTTCAAAAATGTTAAACATTTTACTTTCCAAATAACAAATCTGTGGAAATTCATTAAAAATGTTTTTGCATTCAAGTCATAGGCTTGCTCAACTTTAGATATTTCCAGAATTTCTAAAAAAGCTGTAGGGTGATAAAAAAAATACTGAGATATTCGGTAACTTAGTATCTGAAAATTTTCACATCTACAAAAGTTACTTCTCTTCCAGCTGGGTGATTCATTCTCAGAATGAATATTTACAATTGTTTGCACATTGCTGAAGACTTCATTGCGCCTGAATTCCTTGCAAGAAAAAAAGTTGTGGAGCCCAGGTTCTACTGCATATACTGTTGAAGTGGCCCAAGATAACTTCCTTGTCCTTTTCTCAGAAGAGGAAAAAGTGAAAAGACTTTTAGAAAGTTTTTGAAACAACAGCCTGACTAAAATAGAAATGTAGAAATTTTGAAATGACTAGCTTTGAAAATAGGTCACCACTTTCTTCCTTTTGAGTTACTAAATTCAGTTGCTTGGATATTTTGATTGCTTCTAAAAATAAAACCTGGTGTCTAACTACTGTTATGGGACAATATGCTATGTTTGGATGGCTGTGGCTGTTACATATCATATGAAGCCTAAATGTTATTCTGAAAAAGGGACTGCTGAATTGTAGTCAGATGGGAATTGCTAAACAGTCAGATGTGAGATCTTGGAAAATACTAATATTGGCAGTTTTATTCCCAGAGAAGAGCCATTCGGCATATTTAGCTACTACACACTGGCCAATACTAGTGTAGATTATGCTTATTTTCATGTGATAGGCCATAATGGTAGCATTTTTCCCTCTGTTGAATGGTTGTGTGTTTTGTCGTACCACCTCAGAGCTTATAAAAGACGTAAGTTATTTGGAAATGGATGGTGAGATACTGATTTGTAGTAAAGCCCACCCTTTGGTAACATAAACTTGAAAAAAAATGGAAAAGATGAGAATATATTATATAATGTGGACAAATGCTTCTGTGAGAGGATAGGCTGCCTATAAAATGACTAGCACCTGTGCTCACTATTGTTCTGTCCCTTTAAGTCCTCTCCCTAGCCAGCACAGCAATTGTTTTGACTATAAAAGCTGAGCAGAGAGGCAGCTGGCTTTGCTGGTTTGTGGGGGAGATACTATTCTCCAGCAGAAAGACTCATAAGAAGTAGTACTTAGAGGAGCAGGAGCAGGAGGAGGAGGAGGTGTAGAAGTGGGAAAAAGTGGAGTAATGAATAATGAGTACAAGCCTTTGAATGCTTGTATGTGTGATACCTAGGGACATGTGTGGTAGTATTGGCTCTCATATATATATTGGACTTGGGTATATATATAAAAGAACCTGTGACAAGTTCACATGTCTAGTTTGTTATATGCATATGCTAATGTGCCTAAGGCACAATGAAAGTGCCTAATTATTTCACATGAATAACTTCCTGTGTAATAAACATAACCACATGGAGCAATGCAAAAACCTTGCAGTAATACACATATAGTCCTTGTATGGCTTGGGACATATTCTGAAATGTGTTGGGATTACAGCTCCCAGAAGAGTTTCTGTGGTGGAGAAGACTGCTCTGAAACATAATGAATTTCTTAGATTTGTATTGTTTTGGTGGTCAACTGGCAACCAATCATAATCCCTGTTTCTTGTCATTTCACCCATGGGTTCTGATAAGTAACTGATAAACATTTATCTTGCCCATTAACAGCACATCCCCCACCCCCTCTTACATAAATATACTCTCTTTAAAAGCAGGGAGTGGGGGAATGCTGATTTGCAGCACATGCGGTATGATATGTCTGTTTTTTTCTTTTTTATGAGAGACATTGTTCCTATTCCATATTCCTCAAAGGAAGTGTCTGTTGACACAGTCTGCATTTCTGGCCTCTCCTTCAGGGCAATTCACTGGCCCTGAAAACAGTATCTTGCACACAACGAGAGCTAAGCGAAGGCAGACATCCTTGATTCATACTTCTTTATTTACAGAGATCTCTGTAATGGTAATAGCAGGCCTCTATAGTAGCTTAAGACTGCTTGCAATTGGAAGTTGACTGCAAGGTGTGGGAGGAAATCTGTCCAGCTGTGACCTTACCTGGCAGGATGTGTTAAAGACACCAATCTCTCTTGAGCATTTGTTATGAAGCAGAATATCTTTGTTTTCAGTACTTCAGGCCCATTTATTCTGTGTTAACTCTGAGCAATGTTTTCCTCCTCAGATATTCATATGGGGACATTTAAGACCAGAAATGAAACATTTAGGTGCGGCATTTAGATACCAAGGAAGAAAAGCCATAAAGGTTAATGATCCAGGATGGTATTGGCTAAAATAATACTTTCCCTGGCTGCTGGATAGCAGACTGGGCAGGCCACAGAAGAGAATTTCTTATCTCCTTAATAGTCATTCAGGCAAGCCTTTGATCCAGTGGCAGACTTCAGGCAAAATGAGGCAAAATAAAGTGGAATTCACTTGAACTGAAGGCTAAACAAACAGAACAAGGCCAGGCAAGGTGAAGCAAGGTTTCAGACAAGGTGAAGACTGACAGAGCGTCAAGCAACTCATGTTCCTGGACAAGTTGCTCAACTTGTGACTCCAAGTCTTGAAGCGTAACTTTATAAAGCCCAAACGGCTGTGCTGATCATAAGATCTGGCTTAACTAAACTGCAAGAACATCTTTCCAGGTAAATTGTGCAGCAAAATCATTCCAGGACTTCTTCCTCCTTTTGCATTTCCTCACCCACAGAGGAAGAGAGAAGAGTGACTCTCATCATGTCTTGTGGTATATGGACTGTGTACCTGTTCTATAATTAGTTTTTTTTTAAATCCTGTTTTTTCTCTCTCTCTTTCTCTCAATCTCTCTCACACACACATAAAAACACATACATATGGATTGCATTAAGTATTCCAGTTCCGATGTAACCATAGATCAATATAAGAGTACAGATAATCCTCGACTTAAAACAATTCATTTAGTGACCGTTCAAAGTTATAATGGCACTGAAAAAAGTGACTTATGACCATTTTCCACACTTAGAACTGTTGCAGCATTTCTATGATCATATCATCAAAATTCAGACGCTTGGCAACTAACTCATATTTATGATGGTTGCAGTGTCCCAGGGTCACATGATCATCTTTTACAATTTTGTGACAATTAAAGTCAACGGGGAAGCCTGATTCACTTAACAACCATGTTATTAACAACTGCAGTGATTCACTTAACAGCTGTGGCAAGAAAGATCGTAAAATGAGACGAAATTCATCTAACAATTGTCTGGCTTAACAACTGAAATTTTGGGCTCAATTGTGGTCGCATATTTCCATTGCTAAGCAAGACAGTTGTTAAGTGAGTTTTGCCTATTTAATTACAACCTTCCTTGCCACAGTTCTTAAGTGAATCACTGCATTTGTCAATTGAAATTGGCTTCCCTATTAATTTTGTTTCTCAGAAAATTGCTAAAGGTGATAATGTGACCCTGGGATACTGCAACTGTCTTAAATACATGGCAATTGCCAAGCATCTGAATTTTGATCACATAACCACGAGAATGCTGCCATGGTTGTGTGAAAAATGGTCATAAATCACTTTTTTCAGTGTTGTTGTAACAAAATTAACTGTTGTAAGTTGAGGACTACCTATAAGTTGTGAAATACATTTGAGCTGGAAGTCAGTTATTGTAATTTTAAGTAATGTACATGCACTATGAGAGATTTGGTTTTCTTGATTTTTTTTAAAGTAGATTCCTTATTTTTTTTTTCTCCTTTTACAATCAAATGTGACTCTTTGGATGCTCTTAGCAGTTATGATAATGCATGTTCATAAGAATACCAGAGATTTTACAGAGCTTAAAGCCATCTGATATCCATGATGCGTTAGTTATGATATTTGTAAGCAAATTTACCTTGTGGTTTGGGGCTGGTTTTCCTTTGTTCCAATCATCAATAATGCACCAAGTTTCTTTCCTAAAGATCTTTAACAGAGTTTGCTTCTTAAAAATGAGAAAGTTTAAAATTGATGGAATATACTTTCAAACATTCCTATTTATAATTATAGTATTAATGAGTAAAAGAAGTAGATAGGATTATAAAACTGATGACCAGTAGATTAATCAGGTGCTTATTTCTTTTGTGGGTTTCTAGAGTTTATTAGCTGCCTAATCATTCATAATTCATCTTACAAATATCCAGTGTTTTGTGTTCTACAAAAGGATTATACATTGTCTGCAATAGGAACCAGCAATTCCATTGTTAAGCATTGTTAAGCCAATTTATGATGTCAGTTCCAGTTATGGTTATTACCTGAGTCATTCCCTGTAATCCCTTAATTTGTGGTAGAGTCAGGGTGACTGGATGGAGCTGAGCATTTGCTGGCCAGATGCCCTTCCTTACACCATGTGGGTTGGCAGCAGATATTTTTCCTTTGGGCTCTAAGAGAGAAACTTCTCCCACTACCTATGATTGAACTCTCAACTTTCCAAGTGGGAGGCGAGTGTCTTTAACACTAGGCTGCCATGCTGCTCTATTAGCTGAATCGCTGTGGGCCATTAAAATGTGAATGTCACAGGACTTCAACTTATGATTTCCTCTTGGCTTCCCCGTTAACTTTGCTTGTTGGAAGCTGGCTGTGAAGGCCACAAATTTCGATCAAGTGACCCTGGGATGCTAAGACCATTGCAAATGCAAGGTTGTTGCTAAGTTTATTTCCAGCACTGTCATAACTTCAACCTGAACGAATGGTTGTTGTGCAGAAACTACCTGTACATTAAAGTGGGTTTGCTAAGATGGCTACTGCCACTTCTGTATAATTTAATTAGGCTTGTATTTTGTCTTCTGCAAAAAATGACTGTTTATTTCTACAACTGGAAGAAATTCTTCTTTGGAATTATAAGTATCTCATAAATCCTCTGTATTTTTTTTTTGTTTCCTTTAGACAAATGATAAACAATATATGAACAATTGACAACAATCAAGATGTTTAAACCATGCTACCAGCAATTTATGTCTGGAGTTGGAGAAAGATATTACAGAAGGAAAAAAATCTGATATGAACAGGCGATAAAACATTAGCCAGCTCAACCATTGCTGAAAATTGTGGAACACAATTTCTGGAGAGAACCTTCTTGAGGAAGGCTGAAGTATGCAAAACTAAGTAAAACTATGCTTGGGAGGTCTACTTGGCAGGAACTAGATAGAATACACTTGGAATTAACAAACAGACGATAGACTTGCCAGGAGTGTATAATTGGTACCAGAACCCAGTTCATAAAATCTTCAAGATTGAGTTCACTTCTGATTCTCCTCTTTCCTTATTCTATTTCCAGCAATCTAATCTAGGAGGGAGATCCTTAGATTTTCAATTATTAGACAGCTGAGAATCAAAAACCCACGTCAGATCATTTAGGTATCTTCCACTACATCTGTCTATTCCAAGAAGTATGTATAACTTCTTGTATATTTTGCCAAGATTTACACACCTTAATTCATAATATGGGTTGTATGATTTAGTCTGAGCAGGTTGCGTGAACATAACTTTTTGCGGTATTTTCAATAAACCCTAATTAAAGAATAGCTTGGCCTGATGAGGGAACCAAGTTTTACGATATCCTTATGAGTTTACCTAACTTCTCTGGTGCTGTTTGCCATCTTCATATTGGGCAAGTGTTATTATCATCACTAACAAGTTTCTGCTTCTGGGAGGTGAGAACTTCAAATAACAACATTATTGTAAACAAAGGCCAGTAAAGAGAATTTCAAAGGGAAGAAAGAGGAAAAAAGAAATTATATACAGGTGTAAATTATTGTTTTAAAACAATATACTATTTCTGTGAATATACAAAGGATTTTATGGGGATCTCAGTGCCAAGACCTGTCACTTGCTGCTATCTATTGATTTTCCATAGAAATAGATCGGGAAGTTCTCTTTATTGGGAGATGCACGCTCTGGGTCCTCTCATCTCACAGGGCTCAGGAAGAGAAGGCCTTTTCTCTTGTTATGTCCACCCTTTGGAATACCGTCCTCTCAGAGTTCAAATTGGGCTTGATCCTACTGGCCTTTTGTAAGGCTTTGAAGATATAGTTTTCCCATTGGGTTTGGATTGTGTAGTATAGCCTCTTCAGTGACTATATTGAATATTGTAGAGCAGTGGTGGTGAACCTATTGTACGGGTACCAGAGGCAGCACTCAGAGCCCTCTCTGTGGGCACACACGTCGTCGCCCCAGTCCTAGGCCTTCAGCTGGGTTTTATAAAACCTTTTCGCCATAGAACTCCACCGCCGTGTGCAAAAAAAAAAAAAGGTTCAATCAATCAGTCAATTTCAACTTCTTGCGGGGAAAAAAAATCTTGCAAAGTTGGAATTGATGGATTGAACTTTTTAGTCCCACCCAATGTGCCGTTACCACCGCAGCCACGCCCACACAATGGGCATGCCTATCCAATGGGCCACGCCTACCCAATGGGCCACGCCCATCCGGCAACCGACGATGCATAAGTGTTTTGGGTTGCTGTTTGGGCACTTGGTCTCTAAAAGGTTCGCCCTCACTGTTGTAGAGTGTTTTCGTAACTTGGCTGCTGATTATGTTCAATTATTTTTTACCGCTATTATGTGATGTGTTTTTATATTGTATTTTGTTTATTGTCTGGGGTTTGTTTTAACTTTTGTAAGGTACCCCCTTGTTGTAAGAGTCATATATACATGAGATGGGTGGCTATACAAATCAATCAATCAATCAATCAATCAATCAATATATCCCTCTGCTGATTTGTGTAGTAAACAGCAGAAATACATAAAGGGGTGAGGAACTGCAAGAGGAAAAGTTTTCCTGAACAAGCATTCAGTTCTCCATCTTTCACTTGTGTCAATCTGTCTTGCTGCATTATAGGTGATTTCTAGGCTTCCATAAAGATTCATATTCTTCTTTATACCTAATTGTGAAGAAGATAAAAATCTCAGTTGTGGAAATTGCCAGTTAAGTGTTAAGACATTTTGTCTTTGTGTATGTGAGAGAAAGTCGTTCTGGCAGCATTGAAGCAAACTAAATAAACTTCAAACAGATTCTTTAAACTAACGCTTCATCTGGCCGAACTGTGAACTAGTTTACAGTGTGTGTTCCCTGCACATTTTTGTTAAAGGTTAACAAAACTGTTTAGACAGCTTTAATTGCTGTGCATCAATCTGCTGAATCAGGTTGATTAATGGAGCTCATTTCTGCAGTGAATTCTTTAATTGCTGCTTATTTAGAAGAGAGGAAGGGGGGTGGGATATAATTTTGATTAAGACAGCTGTCTGCATTGTTCATTCATTCACCTTGTGAATTTGCTTTTTACTGGGATGCATTTCATACATGAATATATAGCCATCCTTTTGAACCTTTTCTAAACTGAAACATCACTTTAGAAGTAGGTTATTATCATTTGCATAGGATGCTTGTACAGTCGCTGCCTATAAATCAAAATGTGTTTGTTTGCTTTGTTGCAAGTTTTCCCACTTTGATAGACTATATCCTCTATATGAAAAAATAATTTCATGGCAGCTGGTGGAGATTTTATTATTTCCTTGTTATTTTCTCTGCTGTGTTTTTTTCTCCTTCCAACAACAGTATATTTCTGTGCAAGCTTATCTTGAACAGAACTTGACATTAAAAGAATCTCATGGTTTGACTGCAAAAGTGATGACAAGAAATCATCCTTTTCAACAGGGCAAAATAATACTGCCCTATATGATAAAGTTTTTAATCTCTATGGTGAGTATACAGATAGCAGTTTTCAATCTGGAAGACAAATTTTTAGTGTTTCTGAACTCATAATTCTGAAACATGGCTCAGAGAATAACGCATATGTGCATGTGAGCAGTATCATGACTTTTAGTTATCTTGAAGAGTATTTTCCAAAGCCTCAAGGGATCAGTTCTATCTTAGGTGTGTTTGGGAACTGGAAATTAGACTAATGCATTCGCCAACCTGCACTGGACCAGCATGGCAGATTATGGTCTATTTCTTCCACATGCCAACATGAGGAAGAGGCCTTCATCCTGCAGTGGATAGAAAATGGCTAAAATAGTGTGACTTTTTTTTATATGAATGTAAGTTTCACATCACTCTGGTGTATTTGCTGTATCTTTAATAAGGCTGTGCAGTGTTTTTGACTTGCATTGGATGAGATGCCTTAGGCAGGAGTGTCAAACTACTGGCCTGCGGGCCGGTTGCATCATGTGGAAGCCACGCCCACCCCAGCTCTGGCAATGCAGAAAAAAGTCATGATATGTCACAACGTGAGTTTGACACCCGTGCCTTAGGGAGTACATAGGAGTGTGAATTAAAGCAGTCGTTTTTCAAGATAATGTGTATAGGGAGCCAGTGGAAACAGACACAGCTGCTATAATGAATTGCAGACTGGTGCTTTGTTTGTGCAGTCGTGTTCAGAAACATATCTTCCAGTTAAAAATAGTATTTTCTAATCTTGAAGATTGTCTCTATATGCAGCATAGCACAGAGAAATGGCAAGAGATGTAGATAGAGTTCATAGTCAGAATGATTCTATTAGTTCTCTTATTGCTGCATAGCTTATGTTTTAAGTTGTCTTAAACATTAAAAGAGCAGAGTAATGAAAACACTGTTTAAAAGTTATGTTAGAGGGTTGCTGTTCTTTATTGCTTATTGAAAACTTCAGAGTCATCCTGGATCTCAAGGATATCCCTGTGAGAAAGGTTTTCTCTTCTATTTCATGTGGGCTTTTCAGAAGAGTATAAGGAGATATCCAATCTTGTAATGTAGGGAAAAGTCATCACCTTTTAGCTCTGGCTGTGTTCATGTCCATTCTGAATAGTTTATTTGACTATTGACCATTTCATATGAAATCGTTCATATGAAAAAGGTTCTTGACTTTTACTGTTACTTCATTTCACCTTATAATCCATATTTCCTTCAACCAATAGATTTTTTTTTTTTAAGAAATTCAGAATGTCCTGGAAAGACAATGAGACATGCAGCTTCAGAACACCCTTATCTTAATTATTTGGCTCAATTGTATCTCCAAACCTAAACACTGACCTAATAAATACTATTGATTCTGCATTCCAGCTGCTACCTTCTCTTTTCTGTTACTTTCTCCTTTTAAGAGCTGAAACCCAAGAACTGATTTCAACAAAGGGCCCTGGAAGGGGGGGGGGAGGTGAAGAAAAAGGCAAACAGATAACAACCCCATGTAATCAGCATTTTATTACCATCTTCAGGAAGCTGGAAGAGGTTTTTTTTGTTTTTTTTTAAGAAAGAAGAAGAAAAGAAAGTAGATTGGAGCAAGGAAAGTTAATTATGGGGAGGTATTTGACAGGAAATTACAAAATACAGACAGACAGAAAAAAACACACACTTTTAAAAGGCTAGGAAATCTCCAGTTACTCCATGCTGTGTATTCAAAATCCCCAAAGCAAGTGCTGAAAATAGTAGTGTAAACAAAACTGTCTTATCTGATAAAGACATTTTGATTACAAAGGGAAATTTATATATTGGGCTGGCAGTCTTCAAATAAACTGATTGTGTTGATAATAGCATGGATTTAATTGTGTGTGTGTGTGTGGGGGGGGAAGTTCTCAGTTGAATGACCCACAGATGCCATAAGCTCAGTTTTTTTTAAAAAAAAATGGCTATATTCTCCAGCACTGGAGATGGATAATCCACGCAGTGGGTTGAGACTGTATTCCTGGCCAATCAGATCAGTCAGCCAAAGTTGCCACGCCCCGTCTTGGACCATGATCCCCCAGTCTTGACTGATCTCGCCATGAAGACACATCTAGAACTTTTGGCTCCTGGGCAGGTATAGTTCCTTTCCATTAGGGGGGGATTTTTTCTAGTAGCTGAAATTGCTTAGTTTAAAAGTTAATTAGAGATAATTTAATTCAATTTAATTGACCACTCAAAAATTTCCTTGCTAAATTGTAAAACTCAGGAAGTCAGATTCCTACAGGGGAAACCTCCCCCACTTAAAAGGGGGAAATCCCTAACTCCCCTCCCTAACCAACCCCAGCCACCTTCCAACAGCCGGCAGCCGCCTTAAAGCAGTTAGCGAGGGAAGCGGAGGACAAAGGGGACGCATGCTGGGAGGGAGATTGAGTAAGGGAAACAGCTGGCGTGCGAAGGAGC